TTATCCGTGGAAAAGAAAATTCAGAATACGGCCAGAGAAGTTGGTGATGTCCGCTGGATAACTTCTGCACGCTCCGAAACTGCGCGCATATTATTACGCGTTACGCAGCCGGATTAAAATAAATATTTCACTTGCAACCTTTTTTTTCTCTCCGTTTTTTTTTTTTACCTTTTTCCCCCGTTTTTTTTTTTTTCCTTTTTCCCCCGTTTTTTTTTTTTTCCTTTTTCCCCCGTTTTTTTTTTTTTCCTTTTTCCCCCGTTTTTTTTTTTTTCCTTTTTCCCCCGTTTTTTTTTTTTTCCTTTTTCCCCCGTTTTTTTTTTTTTCCTTTTTCCCCCCTTTTTTTTTTTTTTTTTTTCGTTTGCGGATTACGTCGAGCAATTCGAGATTGCGTATCACGGGATGCGCGGCGTTATAATATCGCGCGCGTGTGTGTGGCGGTATGCAATTTTTAAAAACCGGTTTTTCGACTGGACATCGCGCGCCTCGTTGCGTTTACGTTTTTCTCATGCCTGGAACGTGTTTTTCGCGGGACCGTAGCCGGTTAAATAAAATAGAATTTAACGGATCGATCGGACGGCGTTGTTCCCTGCGGTAACGGTGAACTGGTGGAAAAACGAATTTTACAGCGGAGGAACGATCGTCTTTCTCAGGGATCTGACAATACGATAATGCCCGACACGCGACGACGATCTCTCCTGCCTTTTGCTGAAAGCACTCGGGCTGAACTAGAGGCTGTAACGAAGCGAAACACGATATCAACAACGCGGAATACCTCGTGTTTCGATTTCTTTCATAAATCAGAAGAGACCCCGGATATTCTTACGGCTCGGTGTCGAAATCAGATCCCAGGGGTAATGCTCAGCCGGCTTGCTTCTTCTTCTCCTTCTTCGTCTTCGTCTTCTTCTTCTTTTAGCCTGCTCTCCCCTTCGTGCCGGGCAGGACTCACCCTCGAATTAAAAGAGCAGCCATTCTAGCTGCCTTCCCCGGCCTCCTTCCTCTCCTCTTCCGTTCTATTCCTCTTACATCTGGACCGTCCGCGTATCAGGGGTCGTCTGAGAGAAGGTCGGGGGTGAGAAACAGAGACGGAGAAAAAAATTGAATGGATTTTGAGAATCGATTCCTTTGGACGTCTGAAGGGATCTTCGAATTGGGTCAGAACTCTACTCGCTGTCCACGTTAATACACCGATACACTCTTAATATCTATGCCGAAATTCTTTTGCTCCCTGTTCGATGGATTAACGAGACTCGGGGTGGTATTAGCATTCGCGATGTCGCGTACATTTCCTAGCTAATTCATGTTTCGAATAAACGCCGGTTCCTATGTCACGTTACCGGCTCCGATAGGATCGATAGGGCCATTATTCAAACCCCCGTCCGATTATACTCACATTACCAGGCGCACCTTATTAATTACGGTCGCTTCAATGTTTGCAGACGTAAAATTCGCAATTTCGGCAAGTGTATTTCACCGTGATACAAATTAGCGCTGGGTAATCGTAAGCGATCCCCATCTTTATTCACGCCATTCGTTACGGTTAGTTTAACCTGCTCACCGTCCGTGCACCACCTGCGACACTTTCCAATTTATTACACAACTGTGTAAAAACTGCCGACCAATTCCCTCCCGTAGCCTTTCTCCCCGGGAAAAAGACACGGCGTGTCGAAGAATGATTTAGCGAAACGGAATATTTCTGTTACCGTGGTATCTCTCTGGGATTTTACCCGGGATGAAAACGCTCGCGTTTGAGATGCTTTTTGACCCCCTCTCCTCCTCTCCGTTCCGGTGATTCGAGCCGTGTCTCCTTTTCTCTGTCGCGTATCCACTTCCACCAGCCGGTTCGTCGTCGCTCTTTCCGTTTTCCCTCCCGTTCCTCCCCTCTTTCTGTTTTCCTACGGTGAAAAGCGGGTAGCAGCCGACAACCCTTTGTTACCGTGCCTTATCTTAATTGCTTTCACGGGTTCCCGTTTAGATCAATACACACTAGCGGCGTTCCACCGCCACCACCGACGCTGCTGCTGTTGCCATACCTCCGCACCGTTCTCCGCTTCGCGAATCTAAATTATCCCAAGGGTTGTTTCGACGAGGGATTTTCGATTTTCTCTTTCTCCATACACAACCCTCTTTCTCCCTTTCTACGCGCCCCCCTTCTCTCTGTATACACATATACGCAGCCCTTGCATATTTTAGGACCGTTTTCTCTCCCTCCTCTCGAGGGATTTTCGATTTTCTCTTTCTCCATACACAACCCTCTTTCTCCCTTTCTACGCGCCCCCTTCTCTCTGTATACACATATACGCAGCCCTTGCATATTTTAGGACCGTTTTCTCTCCCTCCTCCCACGTCCTCCGTCGCGTTCGCTCAATCTGATTTATCGCGTCGCCGTCGGTCAGACACGTTCGCTCTTCAAATCTAACTGTGTACACGCACACAAACGGTGGGCGATTCGATCGTAGGAGAAACGCTAGAAATACCGATGAACTTTGTAATCCCGTTTAATTTATGGAAACACCGCGGTAATCGCGGCTCGTAGCTCATCCTGTTCAACGCACGACTAAACATATGACGAAGACACGAAGCAGGTAGACGGTTTTCTAAACGGCAGAAATTTTGTCTCCATCGCGGTAAAGCGTAACAGGACGCGAATTAGTCGGGCAATTAGCTCGATCTTCAACGGGGTGTCATATTAATGTAGTTTGCTCGCTAACGACCCTCGAAAACGACGAGCGTTACGTTGTCGCCGCGTAGTACGTTTGTACAGGCAGTGTTTCACGCGTACCGGTGCGACGAATCCGTGTGGCATGGTCGACAGGAAGCTAGGC